ATTTTACTGCCTACTGTTACTAAAACACTGAAGAAATACTTTTAGGGTGACTATTTTAAGTTCAGCTCATATTATTCAAACGCTGTTACAAGTATTTCAAGTTGCTATTGGTTATTTTCTTATGGCTATAGTGATGACTTATAATGGATGGTTAAGTTTAGCAGTGGTATTGGGACTCGTAACAGGATACTTTGTAGCACAGCGTTAACATTTTATTAAAAAAATTATTATTGAGTTATTTTTTACTGTAATATATTATGTCGATTTTCTTAGTTAGTTATCTCTCTTAGTTTAGTTATTCACTTTGCATTTCAATCAATAATTACAGTCAAAATAGTGATTCTAGTCTTTATGAATAACAACTATATTTGATACCAATTAAACTTTTTTTTAATTTAAACTTTTAATTACGTAGTAGAGAGGGCGATTTTGAAATTCATTGTTGGGGGGCCAACCATGGAATAGCCCGGATAGCCCGGCGCTGAATAACTTGGTATTTAAATTTCCCGCTGGGGATTCAGGTGGTAGCCACAATTGTAAATGTCAGAATTTCACATTTATTTATTTATTTATTTCCAGACACTGTATTTCGTTTGACACTTTAGTTTTTGAGTTAAAGTTTTCGGTTTATATAAATAGTGGTGTGATACTTTAGCCAGGGTTGTCAGTTTCTGTGTTTAAAAATCAGGACAACTTGCATGGCGCATTCTTTTTCTTAAATATAAAATATTATGTGCCCATGGGATTTTGAAACAATATCTAACACCTTTTTGCCTTGACTTAAAAAAGCTATCAGAAATTGATAAATAATTATGTAAAAATAAAAAAGAAACGTTGAAAACAAAATAAGTAAATGTCAATTAAATCTAAAATAATTAGAGCAAAAGTTTCAGCTGTATAATTGACTTTATTAATTTATTTAATTATTTTAAATAAAAAAAAAAAAAAAAAAAAAACTAATTCACCACAACACCAAGCTTCACCACTTTATTTTTAACCTTGGACGCGTTTCGCTAACCATGTTAGCATCATCAGTAGCGTGATGAAAACTGATGGTTAGCTTCAAATTCATAGTTAGCGAGCAATCACTGTTAAGAGTAAAGTGTTTTGGTGTATTGTGAAAGTGAATTAGTGTTTTTATTTTGCTGTTGTAACACCAAAGTTTCCAACCCCAACTGTAATGAATATTTTTTGTTTCGTTTTGTTTCTGTAATAATAAGAGCCTTGTCATTTTAATAAAATCCAGAATTCCATACAGGTCATATTAAAATTAAATAGATTTGAAGTTCCATTCTGAAGAGCTTAATTGAACATCTATTTCTAGTGTCTGCCTACTTCAAAATCATACGTGAAAATATTATTTCCACATAAACATTAGATGTACTATGTAAGTAAAACCTTAACCAATTAAAAGGTATGTTTTACTTTATTTTTTTATCTATAATTTTTTTTATACTCCATTAAAGAGTATCAGTATCTACATCTTTTAATTTCTAAAAATTCTACGATTTTAATTAATTTGTAAAATTTTTAAATTAAGTAATAAACATATTTTTTTAATAATTTTTACAATATTATGGTTTTTTTTAATAAAAATGTACGTGGCTAAACTAATAACAATCGGGACATTAGGGCTTTGGGTGGGGACGTGGGACTTTTGGATCAAAATCAGGACTGTCCCCGACAAAGCTGAGACAGATTGTAACCCTGCTTTAAGCTAAAAAATGTTTACTAGCGGACCTTGCAGTCGAATAGTTTTCTTTAGAACCTCTTTTAATTCAAAGTGTACAAGATGGCTGCAATTTTATTAGGAGAAAATATTTTTGAACAGAGCTAGTAATGGCCCTTTATGTCCCTTAAGTGCTGTTAAGGAGGTGAGTTTGTTGATGTAAATAATAAGTGCTTATATATTTATAATTCATTTCTTTTGTTTCTAAAATATTTTGATTAAAAGGAAATATGTAAAAAGAGACAACGCTTCTTCGGTCCAAGCTTAATCACGTGACAAAGGTTTATTTGATCTCAAATATATAAATTAATTTGAGTATGCAAGCAATACGTAACTAGGATACTTAAACCATTAAATTCCACGTAAAAGGTGCTTTGGAAATGTTTTCATAGAAATACAAAAATTTTCCATAGGAAAAAAGTTACAGCAATTTGTTAAAAATGCACATTTTGAAAAACACCCGTAACTCGAAACGGTAACAAATATTGATGTGCGGTTTTTCACCATCGTGTTTTTGATGAAAATTGAGCTCCAGACACCGATATTAGTTTTCGTCTATCTCCTATTTTAGAAAAGGGTGTTTCCAATTTAAAAGCGTCGAATTTGACCCACCCCTGTTACAGGGTGTCCCACTAAGAATAGCTCTGTGCTGTATCTCGGAAAGTATTAGCCGTAGAGCCCTCGGAAAAAAAAAACAATTTATAACTAAAGGGGCTATGAGAAATTGCTGGAAATGATTTTCAAGTTTGTAAAACTGCCGCTAGTGGGCGCAACTGCTATGGAAAATAAGAAAATAGAATTTTTACAGAATTTTTCCTAGATAATGAGTACTATAAATAATAACTTCATAATCTTCAGTAAATTTTGGATTTTGTTTATTAGAACCATTTTCCCCTACCTGCTAAAATAAAGTGGTGGGGGAAGATTAGATCTATCTTTATTTAAATGTTAATAACTCCAGACTGGATGATCAGAATCCAACAAACGAGGGCTTGTTTAAAAGAGCGTGTCTTACTATATATTATACCATTAAAATAATAATAATACAGTTTTGAACGTAGACGCTAGGGGGCGATTTATTACAATTTAACAAACATAGCGCGTTTTTTCAGAAAAATTAAATACAATAGTATATGAAATTTTAGCTGATGGTAAAGAGTAGTAAAAGCTTAAAAAGTCAGAGAAAAACCGCATCTTGATATCTTCTTTTAAACCAAAGATATTAGCAAAATTATAATAAATACCAAAAAATAAGCCCTTAATTATCTTATTTTTAAAACACGGTATCAGTAGCCCTGTTGATTATGCCCATTTTAAGAAATAAATAAGATAAAAACAGTTAGTTTATTTTAAAATCGACGAAATACCAGAATACCAGATGTATTCATATCTAATAATTAAGATGTTAATAAGAGTGAACAAGAAACGATGATTCAGTGAAGTCATGGTAGGCTTTGGAAAAAAGTTGCTTTTGACAATAGTATAAACGTCAAATTGTTATTAGATCAACATTTTGATAGTCTTTTATCTTTTGGTTGCTTTTTCAAAATGCCAACACAACTTCAACTACTTCAAATAATAAGGCCATTTTAAAAAAACAATTAAAACATAAAAAACGCTGCTAAGGCTATCGAAATGTTGATCTAATAACAATTTGACGTTTATACTATTACGTCAAAAGCAACTTTTTTCCAAAGCCTACCATGACATCACTGAATCATCGTTTCTTGTTCACTGTTAATAATATCTTAATTATTAGGTATTAATACATCTGGTATTATGGTATTCTGGTATTTCGTTGATATTAAAATAAACTAACTGTTTCTCTGTTATTTTTTTGTTATGACCTATGCATGCGAAATCTGGACTCTTAAAACGGACATTATAAGAAAACTGCATGTCGCACAATGATAAATAGAACGAAATATGCTGGGAATAACTAAGATAGACCGTAAAAGAATAGAGTGGATACGTCAAAACATCCAGGTAATAGATGTTATCCACAGAATCAAACCCTTCAAGTGGCAATGGGCAGGGCACCTGGCAAGAAGGACGGACAACAGGTCGACCACAAAAATTTCAGCATGGTACAAATTAGAAATTAAGAGACCTAGAGTAAGACCAAACCTGAGATGGGACCACGATATTAGGAAATTAGCAAGGATAACTTGAGCCCGCATAGCCAAGAATAGACAACAAACTACAAAAAGAGTACCGTCGTTTGGGGTGAAATTGATCTCCGGGGTGAGAATGATCACTAGATTGCATTTTTATTAATTCAAATGTAACGCGCGAATCGTCGGTTCGTTTAATGTTAAACCGCCAAGTGTGTTTAGTAGAAATATGACCGAAGGGAATGTGTACAGGTCACGTCCGTCGTTAAATCGCTCTTTTTTGTCTAAATAATACATTCAAATTGTTTAACTGTTTTTGCTTTCATTTACAACTTCTAGAACTTTGATCGGTAAGTCAAATTGTGATATAGTAACGAACACACTGATTACATGGCGCTATTTGTTAATGTTTCTGCAAGTCATATTCCGAAATTTAGTTATTTTCGATCGTGAATTATGAGATTATACTTTAATTTGTTCGAAGGAGTCAGATTAATCGTTTAGTACGGGCGGGATTGATCATCGAATGATCAATCTCACCCCGTGAACAATCTCCCCTGCGAGTCAATTGTGGTAAAACAAGAAGGAACTGTTGGTATTTCTTTCTTGTTTTTGATTCAGAAAATAAATATTTAGTTTAAAAGTCTAATCTTGTATTTTTTTTACATCGCAGCAATCATTATTTTTCATTGATCGTTCTCATCCGCACCAACCATCTCACCGGCCCAAATCCTAAAAAATCTTATAAAATTTAAACCATGACTTTAAAAAAGACAGGGGTTAGATTAATCAGTTTCTATGTAGGTATACGCATATTCAATGCATTAAATAAAACGTGATCAATCACACCCCACACGTAGTATGAGATTGTTCAGGATATTTTGTTCGTTCCAGGCCTTTAATATATTTTTATCAAATTTTCTGATTATTTGGTGTTGTTCCCATCAATAACATCTACCGAATAAACTTATTTACAAAAATATCATTTTACACAAATACCAAATCTCGGCTAAAACTTTTTCTTATGATTAATTTCACCCCAAACGACGGTATCTAAAGTATCTAAACATGTGAGGGAGATTACACCAAAAATGGAAATGGTTGAATAAGCTGAGAATGATGATGATGATGATTTGCAGAAATCTTACAGACGTTACTTACTCAGGGTATTGTCTGTATAAAATATCGTACTTCCTAATATAGGCCACGATTCCAGGTACAATAAGACCGATTCCCAAAACAACACCAAATATGTGCAGTACTTTCTCTGGATATTTGTGTATTATGAACAGTACCACCATAGCTAGTATGAAGATTTGCATGTCAGCCGATAAGTACCAACTATGCTGCATACACTGAAACAAATAAATACAAATTAACACTAACAAGTATCTATATATTTTCCTTTACTTCTTAATTACTAAAACTTGGTTATATGCTCAAATAGATCAATAGTTTGTCCATTCTCAAAAGTTTACCTCTAAAATGCCTTGTCGTTTTCTACATTACCTATTTGCCATTTTTACAAGAACACTTATAAATGATATCTTTTATAATTACCATAGGTATATATGATTAAAAACAAAACTTTTTACTATTTCATATTTTAGTAGAAAAAATTGGAATTTAGGAAAAATTTTTGGTTATAAAAAATTGACTTAAAATGTATATTATACAGGGTGCTACAAATTCGAGGTACGAGCATTGGTATTGTATTGTATTGTATTTGACTAAGAGTGGGTCCCAAGGGGGACCCTCCACTGAGGCCGCGAGGGCCTATTGTGGCTCAGTTTCTACAAGCTCTAATTTACAAGAGCGTCAAAGTTCATCCTCAAGACCCAGCCTCTTAATATAGGCCGTTATGTCTGAGGGCGATATGTCTCCTAGGTCTGATAGGTCTAGCATGGGTTTGCCAAACATCTCAAACCTGGTCCTGCTCCCAGCGGGCAGGTACACATAACGTGCTTCATTGTTTCATCATCTTCCATACAGAGTCGGCATTCGGCGTCTTCCACCAGTCCCGTCCTCTGCAGGTGAGATCTCAGCCGGCAGTGGCCCGTGTACACTGCAGTGAGCACACGCGTTCCATTCCTACCGGCCTTTAGGAGTTCTCCTGTTCTATGTTTGGATGGCCCTGCTAGGATTTTCTTGGCATGCTCCATTCCGGGACTGTCATTCCAGTCTCGGAATGTCTCACCCCTAACCCATTCACAGAGCCTGTCTCTTGCGAGATTTTTGGGAACGCTAAGTGTCGGTTCTGGCCCCACGAATGGCGCGCCTGCACCAATTTTGGCGAGGGAATCAGCACGTTCATTTCCCTCTAGGCCGACATGTCCCGGTATCCATATTAGCGACACTTTGTTCCTATCTCCCAGTATATTGAGTAGTTTCTTACAATGAAGAATCGTCATAGACGTGCTTTTCGTTGCCTCAAGTGCTTTCAGTGCAGCTTGACTATCCGAAAATATGCATATTGTTTTCCCGGTGTATTGCTGTTCTACCAGCAGTTGCACACAGGTTTCAATAGCATATAGCTCAGCTTGGAAGATCGTGGTGTGTTTTCCAAGACTGTGGTAGATCTCAGTCTTTGGACTGCTGCAGTAAATTCCTGCGCCAGATCCTTTTTCGTTTTTGGATCCGTCCGTGTACCAACACATTTCCGCATGTAATAAGCCGTTTCCCGGCTTGTCCCACTCGTCCCTGTTCGGAAACAGGACGTTGTAGGTGCGCGTCAAGAGTTGGACTGGTGGTGTAAGATCCGAGATCATTCCCAGAATCTCATCCGACTGTAGTTCTTCTACTAGCCGGTTTTGTATGAACATAATTGTTCCTTGGCTTCCTCGTGCTATATTTAGAAACCTATATGTAGCCCATCTCGCCTCTCTTTCCAAAAGAATTTGAAGAGGAGGTAGATCGAGTAGGGTTTCCATAGCTTTTGACGGCGTGGAATGGAAGGCACCAGTCACCGCTAGGCATGCTTGTCGTTGTAGTTTCGACAATTTATTCTTTGCCGTTATTTGGTTGGCTTTCTGCCACCAGGCAACTGCACCATACGTGATAATAGGTCTGATGGCCGTCACGTATAGCCAGTACATATTTTTGGGGTTTAATCCCCAGTTTCTACCACAAATTCGGCGGCATGCCCATAGAGCATAGCAAGCCTTTTTTGATGTTTTTTCCAGATGAGAGGTCCAGCTAAGTTTTTTGTCCAGGTTTAATCCCAGATACTTAACTTCCTCCGCAAACGGAATTGTCTCACCAAGAAGAATGGGCGGTTTCAGTTTGTCTGTTTTCCTTCTTCTGGTGAATGGTATGATCACGGTTTTCTGTGGGTTTACACTTAATTGTTCCAGTGTGCACCAGCCGTGAATTGCATCTAGGATTTCCTGTATTTTTGAGGAGATGTCCTCCTCTTTGTGTCCTTTTACTAGGATCACCAGGTCGTCCGCATATGCCTGTGCTTCAACCTCGTATGCATCGATGATTGCCATCAGGTCGTCCGCTAACAGGGTCCACAGAAGAGGAGAGAGAACTCCTCCTTGCGGGCATCCCCTGCCCGGAACAAACCTAACGGACTCACCACTGAGCGAGGTCGTTGCTACTCGATTTTTGAGCATTTGCTCAATCCATTCAGTTATGGTAGCTTCGACTCCTCGTGCTTTCACAGCGCCTAGGAGCGATTGAGGGGTGACATTGTTGAATGCTCCCTCAATATCTAGGAATATCCCTACCGCAATTTCTTTGCGATCAAAGGTACTCTTAATTTCCCCTACCAAATTGTTGAGGGCCAGTTCTGTTGATTTTCCCTGTTGATAAGCATATTGTCGGACATTCAGGGGATTAGACGTAAGAATCCTCCCCCTAATGTGTCCATCCAATATCTTCTCCAGAGTCTTCAGCAGAAATGATGTAAGGCTTATTGGTCGATATGAGCCAGGTTGTAGGTTTTGTTTCCCCACTTTCGGTATGTATACCACCTTTGCTCTCGTCCAGTCAGCTGGCAGGTGTGACCATGCCAGACTTGCCCTAAAAATTCTTAATAAGCGAGGGACGATAATGTTCTCAGCCTTCTGCAATAAGGCCGGAAACACTCCGTCCTCTCCTGGGGATTTGAATGGGTCGAAACTTTCGATCGCCCCTTTAGTCTCCCTATAGGTGATTACTTTCTTCGCTATCTCCCAATCCTCTTTTTTGGGCCGGTTTTTACGACGCATGAGTATCGGGGGGGGTAGCTCTTCATCACCTAGTATCAAGCAGCCTGGGAAGTGTTTTTGGGCCAAAATCTGTAGCGTTTCTTTCCTGGACTCTGTGAAATTACCGTCGGGGCGCTGTATCGTCCCTAGCTCATTCACTGGTTCTTTTGAGAGAATCTTGGAATTCTGGTGCTTTGAGGTAGATCGACCAGACTCCCACAGAACCTTCTCCAGGACTCTCTCTTCGCCCGTCTTATTTCCTTATTGTACTCCGCCAACGTCGCACGATAAGTTTCCCAGTTACCTGACACTTTAGCGCGGTTAAAAAGCTGCCGCACTTCTTTTCTTCTTTTGTCCAGTTTGTTGTTCCACCAAGAGGACTTTCTATTATCCTTCTTTGTTTTAAGTGGACAGTTTTCACTATAAACCGTTATAATTGCACATCGCAGTTGCTCCGCTGCAATCTCGATCTCGTCGCGATCTCTCACTTTTGCAATTGTGGGTTCCAGCAGATGCACGAGTGAGCGGTTGTATCCTTCCCAATCTGTGCACTTAGGATCCCTATATTGCAGGAGAGTGCTTTCACCTACGCTTATTTCAAACTGTATGTGTCTATGATCCGAGCACGATGGCTCAGATGATACCCACCAATTGGATATCCTATTGCTCAAGTAATTAGAGCTGACCGTAATGTCTAAAACCTCTTTCCTGTTACAAGTAACAAAGGTTGGTTCGGAGCCTATGTTATTAACTACTAACCCTTCACCTATTAAGTAATTAAGAATTAACTCACCCCTGAAGTTGGTGTCCGTGCTTCCCCATGCCTCGTTGTGGCCGTTGGCGTCGCATCCTATCACCAGCTGTAGGTTTTTCCTCTTGCAGAAGGAGATTAGTTCTCTCACTTTCTTGGAGGAGGTAAATCCGCTGTCTTGTCTCCCGGGAAATATGCTGAGCAGGCAATGAACTCCACTCCCCCTCCGCTCCTCCCCGCTGGGATCTTGATATGTACCGCCACCACATCCTGACAGCAGAACCTATAAAGGTTAAAAGAGTGCACGCTCTTTTTTACTAAAATGCATGCCCTAGGTCTGGTTACTCCAGGGGCGGTAATTAGCCTACCCTCTGCGTCCCCAAGGCCACATACGCGGCCTGAGTTAACCCAGGGTTCTTGAATGAAGGCGAGATGCACGTCCTCCTTCTTGAACCTTCTGCCAAGGACGTTAGAGGCGGCCTTGGCATGTTGCAGGTTAATTTGTATACATTTGACTGCTGCAGCCATCCCTGCAGTAGTCAAATTTAGGTTTTGCTCCCACCGTCAGGGGGTCTACGTCCCCTTTTGGTGGGAAACCTACATTCGTTCCGCCTGCCTTTCCGGGTGGGTTTGTTCCCACTCGAGTTGCCAGGCTTCCCCGAGGCTCCAGAGGGTTTAGCTTTAGACCCTTTCATGGCCGGGTTTTTCCGTGCCACTACTTTGCCTCCAGCTCTCTCCCTCTGGGTGTTGCCAGACCTCGTGGCGTCAGTCGTCACCCGAGAGGCTGTAGGATGGTCCCCACCATCTCCCGAGACTGACGCCCTGGTCTGCTCCGTATTGGTTTCATTTTCCTTATCTCTGGGTCGGAAGGTAATCTGCCCAAACCCAAAGTAGGCCCTGAATCCGTTGCGGCGAAGGAGATCCATGGATCTCTCATCAACCGCAAAGGTCCAGGTTTGTCCCGGCCCTGCATCACTCTGGTGGAGGATTCTCCACTCCTGAGTTAGCAGGCTAAGATTCATTCTTCTAAGTCTGTTCAGCACAACATCCCCTCTGAGCCGTTCTCCAGGCTCATCATCGGGAATGTAGGCCGTACAGACATGAGGCTTGGGTATATCCCGCCCCCTTACTGCCCTGAGTTCCATGCCCTGCCATGGCGAAAGGTCGTTGACCATCCTTTCTAACCACGCAGCGCTGGTCTCGTCGGCACAGATTACAAGCAGCCATCCAGGCCGAATCGAGCAGCCTTGGAAGCGTACCTGTAGTCCTTCCTCTGTGCTTGCGTCCACGGCCTTCATAATGGCACGTTTCAACAACAAGAGTTGCTCGGTGGATAGGCTGTTCTCTGGGTGGTTAGGTCGGATTACTCCAACCCTTATTTCCCCAGCGGCTTCCACGTAGCTTCTTGCGCCCTCCCTACAAGGCTTCTTAGCGCTCTGTTCAGGCGTGCTTGCATCCGAGCGGATGCGCTTGCTAGCATTAGGAGCACCAGTGTGAGGTTTATTCTCCTCCGGGTTGATTTGTCTCTTCCCGGAAGAGGTACCCCCACTTATCTGTGCCCTTTGTTTCTCCGCTTGTCGCTGCAGAATCGTCTGCAGAGCGGTCTCATAGGGCATTCCGCCCTTGAGAAGTCTTGAGAGGAGCTTTCTTGTCGCCCCTGCAAACCTTTTCTTTTCCAGGGATAATTTCTCCAATTGCTTGGAGACCCCGAAAGGAGGTTCACCTTCTGCCTTCTCAGGCGAGGGGGATCTGGGCCCCTCTGTTTCCTGATCCGGCTGAGGTGAGTTGTTTGGGGTAGGAATAGTCCCACGCTCCTTAGTTTCCTCCTCCTTAGGAGAAGGATCGGGACGGTTTGATCCATCCTCGTCATTGGGTTTTTTGTTTTCTTGGTCCATATAATGATCCCACGAGCATTGGTATCTCGGTAACCGTAATAGATACGAAGATGGTTAAATTGGGACTAAGTTGCGCCTAGGATGTTCACCAAGATGCCATCAAAAAAGTTTTAAAAATTTCAAGGATTGCTGAGTTTTTTGGAAAAACCGTATTTTTTTTAAAATCAATTTTATTTTTTCCTGTCGTTACTTTTTAGAAAATCAAAAAACCAATTGCACGTTCTCATAGCCACTTTATTAGAGCTATCTGACGGTATTTTTAGATTTTAAAAATTCAAATTAGCTGATAATTTGTGAGATACAGAGGTCAACTTAATTTTTTTAAATACAGACTTGCATTTTTTATTTCAGATTTTGAAAGAACTCGATCTCCTGAGTACAATGATATGCCACACTTGATACTTTTTTTTTGTTTTGGGTACGTACCTTAACAATAACAAAACTATTTAATTGTTATTTAAAATAATTTCAAATCCGGCTCTGGTTTTTTAATTTATTTAATCTGATTACATTCATCGCAACAATATTGATCAGCGCTAATTAACATTGAATAAGAAAAATCAATAAAAATTGCTTTGGACATTTGAAATCAATACATTTCAACATTAAGAGTACAAAAACAATTAACGACTAATAAAAAACAATTAAAGAGTACAAAATGCATTCGGAAGTATAAGAAGAAGATCTGTTCAAAGAGCTATAAATAAGATTGAACGAAAAACAAATGTGTGCATTATGGAGGGTGGTAACCCTTTCGAACATGCAGAGCATTAGAAACTAGTATGTAGAAGTTGATTTATTTATAATATCTACGATTAATATTATGCATGTTATTAGATCGTACACTGAGATTTCAAATTCACAATAAAAAAAGTTAAAAATAATAGATATCTTTAAATTGCTGACCTGGATATTAATTATTTGAATCTTTCAATTGGCATGATTTTCCTTATTCAATGTTAATTAGAGCTGATCAATATTGTTGTGCTGAATATAATCAGATAAATACATTAAAAACCAGAGTCGGAGTTGCTCCCTAAAACCACCAGTGCTAGGAGAAACGGAGATTTCATTTGCCAAAGAAACAAAGTATCTTGGATAATTTTTGATCAAAGGCTTACATGGAATATTCACATATCGAAAGCAACACAGAGGGCTGCCATCTCTTTAGGTAGGTGCAGAAAGATGTATGGAAAAAACTGGGGACTTAACTAATGGGGCTTAACTAAAATGACTCTATGGCTATACACAAGGGTAGTAAGACCCATGATAACCTACAAAGGCTTGCGTGCCTGTGTGTAACTGGGGCCATAAAAACCACTCCTACAAATGCGATGGAAGTCTTGTTGAACTTACCAGCACTACATATTTTCATACAAGGCGAAGCCAGATCTGTCATGCACATGTTAATTCACGGTCAGCAGCACATAAGCCAAACGTATAGTGCTGCTAACCAGAAGCTAATCGAAGAGCTGAAAGCAGACAAAGTATTGGGATTACCAATTGATGCAACAGCTACTAGGTATAGCTTCAACAACAAATTTAATATAACCATACCAGGAAGGGAAGACTGGAGTAAAGGTGTACCCATTCAAGCTGAGGCAACCTGGTATACAGACGGCTCAAAAACGTCAGAAGGCGTAGGAGCTGGGATAGTAGGGCCGAAACAAGGGAGATCCTTCCACGTAAGCCTATCCAAGGAAGTCACAATTGTCCAGGCAGAAATAACGACAATCCACTATTGTGTAGAAGAAATAATAAGGCAACAAAGAACAAATCGTTCTGTGGCCATCTTCACAGACAACCAAGCGGCGCTAAAGGCACTCAGCTCTGCGGAGGTCAATTCTAGACTAGTGTGGGACTGTGTGCCTGCTCTGAATACTTTGGACGAACGTAGCACTGTTACGTTGGCCTGGGTTCCAGGTCACGAGGGTCACAAGGGTAACGAAAAGGCAGATGAAAGAGCCAAGCAAGGCTCATCAATGCCATTCATAGGCCCAGAACCCTTCTGCGGCGTTGCAAAGGTGGTCACGAGAATGGCCACGGAACGATGGGTGGCCAACAAATCTCTAGAATGGTGGAGAAACTCACTAGGGCAGAGACAGGCGAAAAGGTTCATTGTAGAACATTCGCCAAAATTCACGGTAGATTTGATAAGCAAGGACAGAAAGACAGTCAAAGCTGTAGTAGGTCTACTAACAGGGCATTGTAAGCTAAATAGGCATCTAAAGCTGATGGGATTGACAGACGAAGCTATGTGTAGGTTCTGCCAATCTGAAGAAGAAACGTCAGAACACATTTTATGTCGGTGTGACAGCCAGGCAAATTTGCGGTTCCCGGTAATAGGCAATGATAGGCCATTGCCAAGGAGCTACATGGAGGGTTAAGTCTCCAAGTTGCTAAACTTTGTGAAAAGGATAGGACTGGAGAATCTAATCTAAGGATCAGAAGAGGACCACAATAGATCTGAGAAGGTCGCAGTGGATCAGGCCGAAAGCCACCTCTAAGTATCTAATCTATTGTTGTGCTGAATATAATCAGATAAATACATTAAAAAAACAGAGTCGGAGTTCAAATTATTTTAAATAACAGTTAAATAGTTTTGTTACTGTTAAGGTATCCAAAACTCAGGAGACCCAGTTCTTTCAAAACCTGAAATAGAAAATACAGGTCCGTATTTAAAAAAATTAAGTTGGCCTCTGTATCTCACAAATTATCAGCTAATTTGAAAATCTAAAAATACCGTCAGATAGCTCTGATAAAGTGGCTATGAAAACGTGCAATTAGTTTTTTGATTTTCTAAAAAGTAACGACAGGAAAAAATAAAATTGATTTTCAAAAAAATCCGTTTTTTTCCAAAAAAACTCAGCAATCCTTAAAATTTTTAAAACTTTTTTGATGGCATCTTGGTGAACATTCTAGAGCGCTACTTTGCCCCAATTTAACCATCTTCGTATCTATTACGGTTTCCGAGATACCAATGCTCGTACCTCAAATTTGTAGCACCCTGTATACTAATATACTTAGAAAGAACGGAAACTAAGAATTAAAAAAAGATTAAAAATTACCATAATGTAACATTAGTCAAAAGGTGGAAAGAACTTACTATTTCAGGTAAATTCACGTGATTGTTCACTAGTAAAATATTTGCCCACCAATTATTTCGACAATTTCTGTATTCTTGACCCACAAACTCATCCCAATACGGCCCATTAAATGTATGAACTAACCATGTGCTGTGAAGGGCCATCACTACGAACATCGCAGGAACAATTCTAAAAAATCAAAATTACTATTTAAACCAGCCAGAATGTTAAAATTTTCATAAAATGTAGTATTTAAATATTTGGTCTTAAAAATTTAGTATTTGATTGTTATTCCATGTTCCAGGCCATGGGAATCATTTTTATAATCACTGACAAATAATATGTAAGACAACTCAACTCTGTTTATTTTTAATACTAAACTACAACTACTAAGAAAACTACAACTCAACTCAACCTATTTTTAATACTAAAGAATACTCAATAATTGACAATGTATTTTTTTGAATGGTATCTACCTTTGAATAAGAAGACTAAGGAAGGAGCATAATGCTATCCATGTATTCATGCATGGTGGGCGGAAAAAGCACCATAAAAGCTCTCTAGGGTGGGGATCCTTGACAGTTCTGTTTGACGATTCATTTGACACATTTGAATTTGATTTGAAATTTTGTGGACTTGTCAGTCTTTACGGAGCTTATTTTATGTTATTTATTATTTATTCTACGACTGATAGTTGTATAAAGGTAGTAAATCTAGATGGAAATTGTGGCAAAACTTAAATTAACAGTTTCACTATCGCGATTTATCGAAAAAGACTCTAAAATAGTTGGTTGTGTAGCGTGCGGTAGATCTCGGCAAAAATTGAGTGAAATAATGGAACAACTTTTCGCTAGTAAGTGACTATATAATACACATACGTGTAGTAAACCGATCATTTATGAAATTCACTTAAATTAACTAAATTATATAATTTTCTTGCATTTTAGCTTTTATTTATTACTTGTCAAAGATTAGATGTCAAAGAATTTAGATACGTTAATTTGACTTACCTGCTTCAGTAGCGTATCGGATGTTTGTGTTAATAAATACTTATTATAACTTATCTATTTTTATTAGAATTATATATTTTTATAACAATTTTAATAACTACCAACATTTATTCACACCGTAAAATAAAACAACAAATTATTGAGTCTACCCCACGTCTACCCTACATCATAGTTTTACATTTTTTAAATAAAATTAGAACGACACTGATAAACCGGAATTTAAGTCGGCCATATTTGAGGCCCATCGCGGTGTACCTAAGATTTTTGATATGCTCCTTCCTTAGTCTTCTTATTCAAAGGTATCTACAAAATTTGACAAGAGTACTTGAGTATTTACAGCTTAAAAGTTTGGAGTAACAATCGCATAACTACAAATAGTTGATTGATTCACCTGATATATCTAAGAAATATGGCCCACGGGAAGAACGAGTTTGACAAAGTTTTTTTCTTCAATTTCATGTCGAAAAAGTTGTACGCTGTCAGAAATCCGGATATAACAAAAAACGATTGTACTATGTACCAACCGTTGGCCACCATCATGTTCAAGAATTTTTTCGTCATCTGAAAACATAAAGTTTAGAAAAATATTCTAAATATTATTTTGCTTCAAAATAATTCAATGGAAATATTTTTACTAAGTTTACTCTATACAACACGGTAACAAGCAGGTTTTAGAACCTGGTTCAGCACGATTACCACATGCATACACTAAGAGAAACTATCAGCCCAACAAAAGAATACGAACTTCCACCAGCCATAGTATTTATAGAATTTGAGAAGGCTTTGAATTCAATATATCCTAAGGCAATAATAAAAGCCCTAGCAAAACAATAATAAAAATAATAAAAGCCCTAGCTAGTATCGACATCATCATCGTCTTTTCCAGCTCCATTGACAGACCTTATATAGAAATTCTCGTCAATACATACAAAGAAACCAAAGCAAGTTTAAAGATATATAAAAAAAACGTGGTTCCCAACTAGCAAAAAAGTACGACAGGGTGTCGCGATATCCCCAAAGCAGTTTACAACAACACTAGAAGAAATCTTCCATCAACTGGACTAGGAATAAGCAGGGACTACAACAAAGGAATGAAAATAGTTGGAGAATATCTTAACCTACTAAGATTTGCTGATGACATGCTCCTAATTGCCAATAGTCTTGAAGAACTACAAGCACAATAAATTAACGAATTAAATACAGCCAGCAATAAAGTAGGTCTCAAAATGAATTTAGCAAAAACTAAAGTAATGTACAATGAATTAGTAGAGAGAAAAGACATTCCAATAAATAACACAGCACTGGAAATAGTAGAAGAATATATATATTTGGAATATAGATATCTATAAAATGCTCTCTCCAATGAATTCCAAAACAGAAGCGAATCATCTTGCTCGGTGACTTTAATGCCCATGTCGGTAATCAGCAAGAAATATGGCCTGACGTATTAGGAAAACGTAAATAACAATGGTGAACGCTTACTAACACCATGCACAATCTTTGCATCACTAATACATGGTTCAAGCTGAAAGACAACTTTAAAGGTACCTTGAAACATCCCAGATACGGTCTCCCCCTAAAACCTGTAAGTTGGGTTAAATATTAGCCTTTTGGGTTAAAAATTACATCCTAAAAGGCATATTTTACATTATTTTTGATTTGCCCCCCCCCCTAAAATAAATTTCTGTATCCGCCCCTGTCCCAGATCAGGCCACTGGCATATATATTTGGCTCAACTAATAGAACTAATATATATATATATATATATATATATATATATTAATCGGTTTAAAACGTTGTACGTCTTCCGATGCCATCTCTCCATGCCTGTCTGTCTCTCCATGCACCGTCTCCGAGAGATCTTTCCTCCACGTGTCAATCCCTTCCTGTCAACTTCTTCTGGGTCTACCCGGTTTCTTCTTCCTGCAGGTTTCCAGTTTATAATTTGCTTTAGGATTCTTATTTCTGCTATTCTTTGGACATGCCCGTACCATATGAGTTGACTGTTCTTTATGTCGTCCACTATCGTATGTTTAACTTCCATAATCTCTCTTATGCGTTCAATAGTTATTCGCTCGAGTCTTGATTTGCCTGCTGATCTTCTCCAAAAATCCATCTCTGTAGCTTCCAGCATTCGTTTTGTTGTTTCCTTAATGGGCCACACTTCACAGCTGTACCTGGTTATACTCTTTATGATGGAATTCAATAGTATCCCATTCAATACCGTGATAGCATTCCTTCCAAGTTGGTTTCGTTCTTTAATTGCTGTATCCAACAGTCCATCATTTGTGATTTGCATACCCAAATATTTGTATTTTGTGCAGCACTTAATTTTCTCACCTTCTTCTAGTATTAGATCTTGTTTTTCTCCTCCGATACACATATATTCTGTTTGTTGTAGTATTGATCTCGAGTCCCCATTTCTGATATTCTTCTATAAGCTTACGTGTCATATATAATTTATGTCATCGTAATCTTGTGCTATGATCACCTGATCGTCCGCGAGGCAAAGTGTGTAAAGCATGTTATCCCCTATGGGTACTCCCATATTTCTACATTTTTGCTTCCAACCTTTGAGAACTTGTTCGAGATATATCTTGAACAGTGTTGGTGAAATACAGCACCCTTGTTTCAGACCTTTGGTTCCATTAAATCCTGTTGTTAACTTTATGCCGACTTTTATTCTCTAGTTTTTGTTTGTTTATATAATGATTTTACTGCTTTTATTAGCTCTACATTTATATTGGTTTTTTCCATAGCTTCCCAAAGTCTCACAAGGGGAACGCTGTCGTATGCCTTCTGCAGGTCCACGAACACAAGATGTAGCTCTTGGTTTAGATTGCTCTTTTTACTTATTACTTGAGTGACTGTAAATAAGTGGTCCACCGTCGATCTTCCGGCTCTAAATCCTGCTTGTTCTTCGGCTTCTATTTCTTGGTATTCGTTTTCGATCCTATTTCTCAAAATTTTTCCATATATTCTACCCACGGTGGCTGTTACTGATATTCGCCTCTAGTTTTCGCACTTAGTACGATCTCCCTTTTTGTATATAGTTGATAGGTAAGCCTCATTCCATTCTTGTGGTACATCTGTTCCGTTTATGCAGTCCTGGAGTATTTTCCTTAAGTGTTCGTACAGTTTTATCGGTCCTGATTTAATTAACTCTGCCGGTATATTTCCCGGTCCGGGTGCTTTACGCTTTTTTAGTGAGGTACATGCCTTAATTACTCCGTCCATTGATATTCTAATCGGGGATCCCATTGTTCTTATATTTGTCGTCACGTCAGGACAGTCCATAAATTCGACTCTATTTTCCGTCATAAGATTTTCCATGTATTATTCCCATTTTTGTGGTGTAATCGGGGAGATGATTTCTTTGCCTTTTCCCTTTCTGACATTTTTTTATAAATTTCCAACTTTCTGTGCTTCTTCTACCTCCTATATATGTGGTTAGTTGATTACACTTCTTTTCCCATATCAGATTTTTCTTCTGGCATATTTCTCTTCGTACTTCAGCTTGGGATTTTTTATATATTAGTTTGTCTTCGATCTTCTTGGTGCTCAAGTATTTTGTATATTTGCGTCTTTCATCCTCTATAATATCCTGTATATCCGGGATCTCTACTACCAGAAATCAGCAAAATAATTAAGTTAGCATGGAGTACTTATGGAAGAAACTCAGCATTAAGAGAAGAAGCATTAAGAACTAAGAGACCTAGAAAAAGAAGAAACCTAAGATAGGATATTAAGAAAATAACAGGGATAACTTGGGCCTGCATAGTCAGCAATAGACAACAATGGGCCCAATTACAAACAGAGTATCTAAATATGTGATGGAGGCTACACTATAATTGGAAAATAGTAAGTAATTAGTGAGGAAGTCTAGAGACGAGATCTGGATCTGGAGACGAGATCCCAAAAATGACACAAAATACCAAAACATCTAATCATAGTTCTTTTGTAAATCAAAACATAAGATCTGAAAAACGCTACAAAGGCATATGATTCCACATTACATATTTCTTTCATTAAAACATGTTTATTCTTACGTCTTCTGTGTAACGTGTGTTAGATATTGGTCCAGAAAATATGCCCAGTAGTGTATGGGACATAACTATACAAAACATTGTATAGAATCTCATTCCTTGCAAAGGTCGTAGCTTTATGTGGTCGGGACTTGTGGGTATCGACATCAGTCTTTTCCAATTTTTGTAGAAAGAGAAATCTTCCAATATTTTCCCCACTAAAAAAATAAAATTAATTAATTTAATTACAGATTAGTTTTAGTAAAATTACGAAAATCTGTTAATTTTTTTTTTGTAAATTTGGAATTTTTTGAAAAAAAATTGATTTTTTTTAGCAAAACATAATTTCTTCGAAATCCAGAAAAGATCCAGTGATTCTCAAAATCTTCAAAGTAAAACAACTCGGTTATTTTGGACTTATTTAAGACTCGCCTTGTATAATAAAAACATTAATTTTCTGACATCATACATTTTTAATAAGGATAACCATGGGATAATCTCTTAAAGTTTTTTAAATTTGATTTAAAACACTCTGTATATTTTAAAAATTAACAATATTTATACTTACCAGTTGAAATTTTCTTCAAAGATGAATTTCTCAATACCATTCTTTCATAGAATGAGGCAAACATAACAAACAGTACATAGAGTGTCAAAAGAGCACTAAAAGTAAAATCTTATATTGTACTGGTTGATAAAATTTATACAAAATAGATTTTTAGGTTTAAAGGCGATGCATATGAATATCTACAGGGTGTCCCAGAAATAAGTGCAGTGTAAGTTTTTTACGGGGTGGTAGATCTCGATAAAAGAAACATATTTTCTCTTTATCGTTTTTCAAATAAGTCGAAAATAACGGAGTTATTTTACTTTGAAAATTTCCAAAAAAAATATTTTTTGTTAAAATTTTGAGTAGCACTGGATTTTTTCTGGATTTTCTTTCTTGCAAATTTAATCTACTATCTATGTTGCCATATTATCAAGAAATTAGTTTTTATTTTAAAAAAATAATAATTTCTTAATAAATTAGTTTTTATTTAAAAAAAATAATACCAAATTTCCAAAAAAAAATTCAACAAATTTCGAATTTTCCTTGATAATATGGCAACATAAATAGTAAACTAAATTCACAAAAAAAGAAAACGCCAAAAAAATACAGTGGTTTTCAAAATGTAAAGTAAAATAACTCGATTATTTTGGACGTAAAGAGAAAATATGTTTGTTTTATCGAGATATACCAGCTCTGGAAATATTTGCACAAGTATTTAAGACTCACCCTGTATAGACAATTAAAATGTAAATTAAAAAACAGAATTACATATTAGAAAAAATATATTAATATTCTTACGCTGCAAGCCAGTCATATACATCAGTTGGGTATTTAGACTTCGATCCTTGACAGTTTAGATGAGTTACTTTCCCAGAAAATCCCGAAGGAAGCATTTTCCGCCTGTAACAGTTCTAGATAGCTTCTGCTGTGGTACGAGCTGTTTTGTAGTCATACTGGCAACTTGTTGGTACACATATTCCATGACGCAAATTTCTGTGGTTGTAGTTTTGAGGACTGGAGCTGACATTCTGGAAACACAATACTTTCATATAAAAATAAATGGTCATCAGGCGAAAATATAATTCAACAATCCATTTCAATTTGGGTTATTTTATATTAGCTAAGTATTTATTGAAATGGCTTAGGATATTAATAGCTTATTGTATATGCTTATGGCTTTATGTATATACAGAGTGGCCCATCGAAAACGTTCCGCAAGGCATAACAGGCAGAGTAATTTTTTTTTCAGAAAATTCAAAAACACGTCGATTTTGTTTGCGAGGGGGACAACTTTTGTCCCAGAAGTGATTGCAAAATCATCAACTCTCTAAGCGGGGGTGTCATCCCCCAGTTGTTTTCAAATGGGAAGGGAGGTCAAGTGGTACCGCAATGAAAAGGGCTTTCTATTCTCTATACTCTCCCGCTTCGTTTTTGAAAATCGGTCGAGTCATTGAGAAAATATGAAGGATTGAAATTTGAAAAGCTTTTTTAAACATTTATCAGAGTAAATGATAAGGAGAAATTCCTTCGACCAATTTGCTGTTTTTTCTTATTATTTCTAGATGTTTATACGCATTTTTTCACTTGCCACAAGGTTGGACGATCAGGTGCGGTAGTAGCTAGATAGCTGTTCTGTGACTTGTGCGTTAAAGTTCTTCTCAATATTGTTAAACTTTTTAACAATTATGATGTACTCACATGCAGAAAAAGTGGAAATGAGTTCCACCCGTACAAAATTCAGTTGGTACAAGAACTCAACGAAGACGATTTTGACCGTCGCTTGAAATTTTGCGAAACTATGAGTGAACGAGTGGCGAATGATAATAGTTTCCTATTTAATGTGTGTTTTTCGGATGAGTGTACTTTCTTTTTAAACGGTGTAGTTAATCGGCATAACTGTCGGTACTGGGCTGAGGACAACCCCAGGGTTTTTCACGAGGTGCACACACAGAACCCTCAGAAATTGAAAGTGTGGGCTGGTATATTTGGAATTTCTATTGTGGGGCCTTTTTTTTCTCCCTAGAAATATAACAGGTGATATGTACTTGGATTTAGTGGAAAATACCATCGACCCAGCCCTAACTGACATCATAGAGAACAGTCCTGGATACGTTGAAGCCGAACTAATATTTCAACAAGACGGTGCACCTCCACATCACTCTCAAAATGTGCGTAATTATTTAAATAATAACTTTCCCGGTCGGTGGATAGGACGAAGGGGTGCAATTGATTGGCCTCCCCGGTCACCCGACTTGACTCCTTAAGACTTTTTTTCTATGGGGACACATAAAAAGTAAAGTGTATAGCACTAGTAACCTAACCTGCCTCATTGGAAGACCTGCGAAAACGAATTATTGATTTTGGTCGCGAAGTGACACCGCAAGTTCTTCAGAACGTTCGAGAACGGTTTGAAAATAATTTGAATTACTGTATGGAGGTTGACGGGCCACATTTTCAGCATTTGCTTCATTAATAAGGTAAGTTTTTTAATTAATTCAATTTATGCGTTTTTTTGCAAAAAGTACTTTTCAAATTTCAATCCTTCATATTTTCAAAATGACTCGACTGATTTTTAAAAACGAAGCGGGGAAATATAGAAAATAGAAAGTCCTTTTCATTGCGGCGCCAATCGACTCCCCTTCCCATTTGAAAAATGTTGGGAGATGACACCCCCGCTTAGAGGGTTAAAGATTTTGTAATCATTTTTGCGTCAAAAGTTGTCACAAACCTCACAAACAAAATTGACGTGTTTTGGATTTTTTGAATAAAAATATACCTTGGCCGTTATGCCTTGCGGAACGTTTTCGATGGGCCACCCTGTATGTTATATTATATACTATGTGGGGGTTTTATACTTTTATTATTACAATAATTATTGTTAAATATTTAAGTTCCTTAAAAAAATAACTGTTTTTTTTTAATTATTAAGTTTGGACGAATCTTGGCCTAAATGGATAGTCATTTAAGACTAAATGACGTCACAACCGGGTTTGGCCAAAACAATATTCTTTGACTAAAACCCAAAACATATGTTATTTAAATTAAAATAAGATAATTTAAATTTTTTGGAATCAGAACTAACACACAATCTTCTTTACTGAAATAATTTATTAAATATTAAAAAAATATATATTCAAATGCCCATAACATATAGGAAGTATTTATTTAAAACTAGGTAACTATCAAAAAAATGTGAATATTAAGCGAGATATTAAGTGTCAAACTGGTTTGTTTTACATAAATAAAAAAATCGATTGCGTGCAGTGTTATGAGTAGATTCTTCTAATAAATTCAGTTCCAAAAACTCTTTACCATATTGTCATGGGTCATGGTAATTTTTATAGTTACCTAAGATACGATCTAGATTAAATTTTTGGAGAAAATAAACCAAATATTCAATAGATTGAGGTAGGTACTGTGGTCTGAGATTATCGCACTTTGTGTGAGTATAATATTTTCAAACAAAATAATACAAAATTTTAAGATGACTGTCATCAGGACTAATAATTGTTTATTTGAAATTTGACATGTAATTTGATCACAACATGATCACAAATTTAAACGTAAGTACCTATTTTTTATCAATATTCGAACAAAAAAAAATATATAAAAAATACTACAGCTTCGAAAGATACCAAATAGAAAGAGATTACATTAGGAATGTAGCTGAGTGTAATGGATATTCTCCTTCACTAATTGAAATAATTAGAAAACGTAGGTATAGGTTAATGATTTCTGAAAATTCGACTTTTCAAGTGGAGAAAGATACGTCAAATTTTTGAGAGTTCTCAAATCAAACCATTTGATAGAGAGTTATCCCGTGGTCTAAAAGGAATTTTTAAGAATGTCAATTATAAACTTGTGTATAGTGCTAATAATAAATTACAACAATTATTAGGTAATCCAAAGGATAAACACCTCCACTGGAAAGGTCGGGTATTTATGAAATTTCTTGTAAAGATTGTAATCAGAAATATGTTGGGCAAACTATAGAAAATCAATATTAACTAGATTTAAAGAACATTTAGCTCAGATAAGATATGGTAGACCACATAAATCTTGCGTTGCCGAACATATTGTTGATAAAGAACATTGTATAGATCTTAATAATTTAAAATTAATTAAACAACTCGCAAATTACAGGCAATTAGATGCATATGAAAGCATCAGAATTAATAAATGTAAAGATAGTATGAACAGAGACAACGGTCCAATTCCTTCAAGTTCTTTGTTCCTACTACTCTAGTGGCGGAAATTTAACTGTTACGCTCGGTGGGCTGTGACTTGGTTGGCTAGATCTTTCCACGCCCACTCGGTGCCCACTGAGCGAGCATATAAACGCTCAACTTGTAGATTGTATTTTAGTTTATAATCATCTGCTGATGATGCTAACATGGTTAGCGAAACGCGCGTCCAGTGTAAAAGTAAAAGTGTTTTCGGGTACTGTGGTGATTTAGTGTTTTTTATTTTGCTAAAAAATACTACCTGTATTATATTCCAAACAGTATTATTATCTGATAGAGGCTCTAATTCAAACGTAAAAGTGCAGTACAGTGCTTCTTGTTTTCTTAACATACAATGGTCAAAGTTGTCCAAATAAAACAACTCTGGCATAAGGCTGTATTGTTCATCTGAAACATAAATATATCTATTTATCCGATGCTTTGTTTCGCAGCTAGAAAAGGTTAAAGTGTTATTTTTTTTTCGATTTATTATAATTTTCTCCCAAGTGCTTTTAGGGATTCGAATGAAATTTGGAGGATAAAAGTTACTATGAGTGTTACATATTGTAATGCTGAAAAAGTGTCAACAGATACACCAGTGACGTGCATATGAGTTATCAATGGAATATTTTTGCACGTCCCTGGTGAACTGCCGGCGCGTCGGTAGTTAAAAGGCGGCAAGTGACAAAACCATAGTTTCTAGAAAAATGGCACAAACTTTGTGATGTTGTCCTTCACTAATAAGAATATATACATTCGATTTTATTGTTCAACACTAATTGGATATACTATGTTTAGTTATTTAGAGGTATTTTTAGACAATAGAGCAAGTTTTGTTTAAAAAAATGTTGGTTAATTCTTTCTTGCTTCGTTTTCTGTATTGAATACAGTAAGAAGTTGAAGTTAAAAGGCGGTAAGCGACAAAAAACTGTTCAAATGCCGCCTTTTAACTGCAAAACCTTTGACGTGCCGCTATTTAGAATCAAGTAAAATATATTAAGGTTTTAACTTAAAAAATATAAGTTTTAAGTAACATCTATTTATTAAAAACTCAGTTTATTTTTTAAATTACTAGTCATCTTGCAAATTTTAAGTAGTTTTATGATAACAGTTATATAGTAAAAGGAATAATTTTAGGTATAACAGGGTGGTCCATAATGGATTGTTCTGTATATATCCTCATGTATTTTTTGTTTGCCTGCAGTCATTTTATAAAATAGAGAGTCGTTTTTGTTGTTTTACTGAGAGATATAACAAAAATGGTTAATTGAGAAGTGCCACCTCAAAAATCTTTGCATCCGGCGCTAGTTTGGTGTCTGCTTTTTTTTGTTTTAAGCAAGAGGATAAGCCGATGCCCCCTCTTCTAAAACCCAAAATAAAAAAAAAACTTCTGATCGAAATACTATAGTATTCAAATTAAAAAAATAATAGCAAGGTTTTCATTTTTATAATATGTATATATATATATATATATTTATATATATATATATATATATATATATATATATATATATATATATATATATATATATATATATATATATATATATTTTTATATATATATATATATATGGCTCTAAGTTAGGCTTAAAATTAAAAAAAATTGAATGGATGAGTGAAAAATCTTTTCTTCCATAAATAATTTATTTATTGCCAATTAATTCGAAATATGAATATGAAACATTTAAAGATAACTCATGAATTGTAACAGTCAAATTTCCTCGCAACGACCTCTGTGTGCTAGCTCATAAATTATCGCAAATAACTATTATTTTTGCATCATGTTTACTATAATTTTATTGTTAAATATTATTTTATTTAAATTTTACAATTATGCAACCCGATATACACCGCGCTATAGATACACAATATTGTCACTGGATACACAATATTGTCACCCCAGCAGTAGTAGGCTTTTTGTCCGTCTCTCTATATCTTTGATCATCACTTTTGTCCGTCACTTGTCATTGTCAGATCAAATCAGATGTTTTTGGATTTATTTATCCTTTGTTTTGGTTATTGAAATTTTATAATTATCAGATAAAATTTCGTAGTTAAATTGGTTATTTTTGATGTGGATCACAGTGTGCAATTCGTTCATTTAATTGTGGGAATTTGTGAGTTTAGTTCGCTCATTGACCGGATATCGAAGATGGCTGTGAAAATAATCCAGAACATCGTTTTTTATTTATGCCTTTTTGTGAGTTGGACTAGTCAAGATATATAGTTCTCTATCTATATCCTGGAGGGAGATTTCCGGTTGAAATCTGATTTTGTGAAGGAAATCGAATCCTTGCATCGTATTTTGTGGGATTTACATGGACCACCGACCAGTTTCCATAATGGGATTAAAATAGCCTTTTTCCGACCGATATTCCGATTCCACGTGCCCAAGAAGTCCCCGAATAATTCCAAGGTATGCTGTAATTCTTCTGCCTATTCTAAGTCAATGCTCAACTGATTTTTATTCGTATTGTTGACTGGTTTTCGACTTTTCCACGCCCACGTGGTGTAGAAAGATTAGTTGAGTGTTATCTTTCTTAAGTCTTATTTGGTTGTTCGTAATTGTAGAGCAAGAAGGCCGATCCAGACCGTACAGCACAGAACAGTCCAGAATTCCATCCGTTCCTGTTGCCCGTGTGTAGAGTTACCCGTTGAACATCATAAACCCTCATTGAGGTAAAGTTTAGATTTCATTAGTCCTTCTTTATTACCTTATTTTATTAAGTCCTACACGTTTTGCTAGTTCTTGTTCTATAATTGAGGCTCTATTCTAAGACAACCAATATTATTTAGGGTTTCTATGTTCACCTTTTGTCCTACACCTGGCCGGCATCCGTACGTCTGCGGGCTAACATGCTAACTGCTAACATCTGTGGGCTCCAGTGACAGTACACCGAGCTGCTGTACCCTGCTGTAGCCACCACATAGCTATACACCGTAGCTCACCCGGATTAAGTTTCAAGTAATTTCAAGACTGTAGAGTATGATCGTTTAGATATTAGTATAATTTTAGACTTGATTTATGGGTATAAACCACCCTGATTGTATTTAGTATTAAGTTAGATAAGGGGGTTTGACGTCATAGGTTTAGTTATTTCATTTAATTTAAAATTCTATTTTATCTTCCAACCTTTCGGTTTAAACTTCTTAACATATTACATTTTACATTTCGTTAATTTTTATATATATATATATATATATTTAACTTTTTAATATTTTAATAAATTGCTTTAATATTTTTAGTAGTATTATTTACAGTTTAGTCTCATAGTTAAGTTAGAGTCACTCAAGTTCAAATAATTATAGTAATATTTGAAGTTCATGGTGGTTGCACTCAACAGTTCGAGGTTAGTGTTGAAGTCTACTTAATAGTTACATCTTTATTGCCGAGTTCGTAGAGTATAATCTCGTGGCGCCCTTTTATTAAGATCTGTGAACCCCGACCACCCGGCTGTTAAAATTAAAAAACTAGTGGCCTCTATGCAACTCATTCTGCATTAAGTAAACTTGTGTTTTATTGAACTTTAAATTAGAAAGGGCGTGGCAAAATATATTTGTAAATATACTGATGTACCGTTTAAAAGAAAAACTTATGGAGGCACTATAATAGTACTTATTTAATTAATGATACTTAATTTAATTAATAATACTTAATTATTGATAAATTTTACTAATTCTAATTATTATACTTTTTTTTAATTTCAGGGGTAAAATTTATATTTTGTTAACACATGACACAAATTTAGCTATAAATCCATCATATAAATATGTATTGAACAGTAAATAATATATAATAATCTAAAATACCTATAAAAATAGTTTAAAAGCTTACCTTTGCACGAAAGCCAATCACTATTATTATAATAAATTATTATTAATCACTTTATATAAGCCGAAAAATGCGATGCGTGCCTGGATTCCCAATCGACTAATTCATCTTTCGTGAAATATACCGCCTTCTTACTACCAAATTTACGTCCGCGTGGTGATTTTGACCGTTAAAAAAGGGCGCAATAGTCACATACCGCTTTTTTACTACAAGTTTCGTGACGTATTTCACAATCTTATTTAACGAATAGGGTGGTATTAAACAATGCCGCCTTATAACTTCAAGTTTTATGACGTATTTGATATCCATCGTTTAGGAATAGAGCAATTACTGTTTAATGCCGCCCTTTTACTACATAATATGCATCATTACGTCATCATTTTTTAAATATAAATGGCATATTTGCAAGAATGCCGCCTTTTAACTTAAGATTTACACTTTCCGCCTTTTTACTTCCAAAATGGTGACGTTATGTCACTTTTTTCAAATTTCAAAAATCGTTGAAAAAAAATATTGTCACACCCCATTTTGTGGGTTATGACTAGGGGCATAGCAAATAATAAATACTTCAATTTAACTTAATAATCAATTTAATTAATCTACGAATAATAAAATAATTATAAAACTAAATGTGTACTTACATATTATATTTATGGACGAACATCATCACTGGCTCGGGGGTAGTGTCAGGGTAGTGTAACGCCAATGCCGGAATCTCGACCGCGACCTTATCGAACTTACTATCGACTATCGACTGTCGACTGTCGACTGTGGACTGTCCCCCCAACAGGTGACATTTTTGTATTTATTGGTTCGTTACGTCGAATCATCGAATCAGCATTATTGGTCTATCGGTGCGATGACCGGTGCGATGACCGCGTTAGTGCTGATTTGATGATTTTACAAATTCGTAGTATTGAAAGGAAATATTTTCGCAATTGCCAATTATGCTTATAACTTTGATTTTTAAAACTTTACTTTTGTTGCGTAAATGCCAATGAACTTTAATTATTTTATACTTCCTTTCAATCGAATTATTAATTTACGAAATATATTAATATTAAATATGTTATTTTATATATCGAATAATTCCATCCTTGACACTTCCCCCGCACCTCTAAAGCTGGACCCCAGCGATAATTCAAGATTTATGAAATTATACTTTTTAACAATAATTATTATACATTGCAATAAATTGTGCTTAACGTTTCATAATAAAAAAATGTTGTAAGTATATAATATTAAAAAAAAATTAAAAAAAATGTTTTTAAAGAAATTACTAACTAAAAAAAAAATATAAAAAAAAAGCTTCTCTATAAGTTTAAGGATGGCGATTAGCCGTTTACATATAGACAAAAAAAATGTCTTTTAATACTGGCACTAACGTGAACTGCACAATACCTATATAGTTTTTAAGTTTCAATACTTTGCACTGACTTCGTTCATAAAACACCCACCCACAAATCTCGTCGGCTGCTCACGGAGGCTGAAAACTGAAGTTTTGATTGTAGTATCCACCTTCACATCATAAACCTAACGAATGCACACATGCCTCCGTTCCCTGCACTTTGAAAAG